GAGACCTTACCTGGAGTATTGTGTGCAGTTCTGGTGTCCTCAACATAAAAAGGACATGGAACTGTTGGAACAAGTCCAGAGGAGGCCAAGAGGATGATCAGGGGACTGGAGCACCTCCCGTATGAAGATAGGCTGAGGAAGTTGGGGCTGTTCAGCCTGGAGAAGAGAAGGCGGAATGGAGACCTCATAGCAGCCTTCCAGTATCTGAAGGGGGCCTATAGGGATGCTGGGAAGGGACTCTTCGTTAGGGACTGCAGTGACAGGACAAGGGGGAAGGGGTTAAAACTTGAACAGGGGAAGTTCAGGTTAGATATAAGGAAGAAGTTCTTTACTGTGAGGGTGGTGAGGCACTGGAATGGGTTGCCCAAGGAAGCTGTGAATGCTCCATCCCTGGTGGTGTTCAAGGCCAGGTTGGACAGAGTCTTGGGTGACATGGTTTAGTGTGAGGTGTCCTTGCCCATGGCATGGGTTGGAACTGGATATCTTAAGGTCCTTTCCAACCTTAACTGTGTCATGTGAGGTCACTCAGAATACCACCAGCTACCTCACTCCCATATCCTCACTTTAACTACTTGTCCTCTTTACTACCTTGGCTACTCTTTCATTAGAACACACAGCTCACGCATGAAACCAATGAGACATCTGAGGTGGTGGAAGCCATTTTACTGCACACACAACCCCATAACCCACATCAACTCCAACCAGAGCTTCTCCAAAGCCCGCCACCCTCCCGAGGAACCTCTATCACCACATTATTCTTTCCCCCACCACCCCAGACCCAGCCATACAAGCTCACTTCAGCCACCACTGCACCCCAACAAGATGGCGGCGGGCGCAACTCGCCTCCACCCCTCCCTCGCCATTCCCCCATTCTACTGCGCACGCGCAGACGCGGACCCTGGGGCAGGTGCCGGTCCTGCGCAGGCGCAGAGGCCGTCCCGCAGCGCCCCCGCAGGTGCACCTTGCCACTCCGCGCCTGCGCAGTAGCGCCCCGCATGTGCCCCCTCCCCCTGTGCTATATCTGAGTACGCCGCGAGCTGCACGTATAACCGGACGATTCACGCCTCTTGCCTCCCCAGGATCCTTCCGCCACCTCCAAAAGGGGGCCTTATGGCTTAAGGCTCAGCTCGCCTGAGGCACAAACACAAGCCTTAAGGCGAAAAACGGCCTAAAACATATTTGGTTCTCCACACTTGGCCCCATCTTCGGGCTCTCCGTCAACGTGGGCGTGCTGGAGGACTCCTTCCTTCGACGCTTCGCGGAAGAATACCACCCCTTTTTTGTGATCCGCCATCTGCTGAGCAACGGTTTCGAGGCGTGGCCGAGCTCGCGGGCACCGCCCCTTTAGGCCAATCACAGCGGGAGGCTTGCCTTTAGCCACGCCCCGCTGCCTCCCTACAGCCAATAGAAACGCTGGATGGAGCGGCGGGGGCCGGCTGCGCGCCGGGGTGGGGAGCGGGCGGGAGGGCGCGCTGCTGAGGGGCCGGGCAGTGCCGCGCTGCGCAGCGGCTGCCGGCGGGGCCCTTCGCGGAGAGCGCGGGCCGGGGCCGTCTGACCCACGGCGGGGTGCGCCGGGTGGCGGCAGGGGCTGGGGAGGGAGAAGCAGGTGAGGGTAAGGGCAAGGGCATAAGGAGAGGGGTGTTTGAGATGAGCAGGAGCGGGTGCTGGTGACGCGGAGAGGCGTCCGGAAGGAGCTCGGCCGGGCCGCTTGTTCCCCTGCGTTCTCTTCAGCTGCCGTCCCCCGTTTCGGCTCTTGGGAGGGAGGGAACAAAGAGGCGGCGGGGCTGACGAGGAGGCAGGGAGACTGTCGGCAGCCGTGGGGATCTTCGGGAGCTGCACTGCAGCAGCTTGTGGTGTTTCCTTGCAGCCACCCCCACTGAGGCAATGATTAACAGGACCGTGGGCATACTGCGGGTGTCCGAGGGCTCGGCTTGAGCCGCTTGGGAAGAAGCGGGGGAGGGAGGGGACGGGGAGAGGGTGAAGGAAAGCAACGCATCTCCCGGACCCAGCGGCTCCCCGTGAGGGAAGGCGGGCGGGGGGCTGCCAGCTGACGGCCGCCTCCGTTGGTCTTGGTTTGGTTTCTTATTCTTCTTCTTCATCGGTTTCTGCTCTGGAGGTCTCCCAATGAGTTAAAATGGTGCTGAGGCTCGAGGGGAGCTGGTCGCTGCTCGTGGGGAAGAGGTTCCTCAGCCTCTCGGAAGAAGAGGACAGGTCGTGGGATACCAACCGCATCTTGGAATGGCCCTGGAAGTCAGGCAGGATCCGAGCAGTTTCCCATACGGATATATCCAAACAAGACCTGAAGGTAACCGGGAACTTTCAAAGACACCTGCTTAAACTAAAGCGCTTACCCTGTGACCTGGAAATTCGTGTGGGTGTGTGTATATACACGCTGTTGTTGGGGAGAGAAGTTGTCTTGGTCAACTTCACTGCGTACCATGCTTGAAAACACGTGCGCTTCTGATAAAGCTTTCAGCATGTTTGTGCTAATGCTGGAAATTGCCTCAAACTAGTTATAAATGTTCTTTCTAACACCAGCAATTAAAAATACGCATATTGTTATGGCACCTGCTGTGCCTGGGCTTTTTTCTGTGTGTTTCCTCGATGTCATTTAAGATCTTGTCAATTATGGACGTTTTCCTTGGAGATGAAACCAAAGCTATCCTGTGTTGGTGACTTTTCTTGCTCTTTGGATGAGCAAAGTACTTCTGCTGTCTTGAAAGATGTACCAAGTTCATGTATGGTGTTGGAGGCTTCTCAGACTCTTCTTGAGTAGTGGCTACTTCTTAGTCATGATTTACCAAAGGGATTTTTAAACACACATTCAGTTACTGCAAGCCGAGTGTAATTCTGTAACTACTTTTTGGGTGGAAGTCAAGGGACTTCCACTCTTTGACTTCACTGTTTGAGACTAAGTTCTAAAGGGGCTATTTGGCAACTGCTCTCAGTAAAACCATTCAAACATGCCTGGGCAATTACTATAGTATACAAAGTACTCACTAAGGGACAAACCTCCCTTATAGTCATTGCATCTTGTTACATGGTCCTCTTGTTTCTACAAGGGACTTTGGTGATATGCTGTTCTATGAGGCATCAACAGTGACGTTTTTCAGTTGAAACTGTTTCTTTTTAATGGGAATCTTTGTAACCTCTGATTAACTGGAGAAGCACCTGATCCATGTCAAGCAGAAGGAAAACCTACCTGTTTGTAACTCTTCTCTGGAAGTGTGAACGTAATTACGAAGAGCTCCGTGTTGTTAGGAGCTGAGCTGCTTGTTGTGTGTTTGCAGCAGGGGTGAAGCTCTCTAGGCAGTGGGACTGTGCCCATGCTGTACTTATAGTGATACTCCTCCTTATATATGAGGAGTATCATAGAATCACAGCATGGTTTGGGTTGTAACTGGTTACAGTTCTGCCAGAAGCGATTCAGTTGGTGCGTTCTCCAGTAAAAGTGTTATAAAAGTTGCAGAATAGACAACTGAGGTGTAGAAAGCTCTTTGTACCAACCCACGTGCCATCTCCGTTTCTCTCTCACAGCTTTGTGGAAGAGCAATGTATAGTTAGACCCAAAATAGTAATAGATTGGGCAAGGGGGAGAGGAAGAGGTCTCTAAAGGAGTAGGAATATTTATTCTTCTAAACTTTGCTTTCTGTACAGAAAAACAAGCTGTAAATAGGACTATCAGCTACTTCTAAAAAGTATTTTCTCAGCTGTGTTTTCCCATTTGTGTTGATCCTATGCAAAAAAAAACCAAGCCGTTCTGGTACTTGTGCTGTTTGCTTATCTCTTTAATTGTTTCTGTGAACTTCAAAATGACTAAATTAATTTGTGAACCCATTAGCACTCCTGTGGTAATGCTATATTGTGTGCATGCTTTTACTTGCCTTTCCCCTGAGAAGGAAGCTAAACACAAGGGACTGTTTCTAAGATTCACTCAACCGAGCTTTCTCTGCTGTTAGTTAAATGCATTTGGGTTGGATCTTGCTATTTTATGGGAAGAGGGAGTGATTTGTCTGAGTAGTGCTCTACTGTTGTCTTGGTAGGCAGTCCAGTTCCTGTATTCAGGCAGAGTTGTCATTCCTAAGCCTTTGCTCATCTCTTCGTATTGTCTTTGAAAGAAGGACAATGCCATCCCAAAGGAAGTGGGCATGGTATTGCCAAGAAGTGAGAACTGTTTTCCTCTTAAAGTTTGTGTAGATACTTCAGACTCAAAGATAAATACCAGTTCAAAGCAGGCAGCAAGTGACTTTCACATTATATGACTTGATCACCTTAACTGTCATTTGCTTTCAATATATTAACTAAAGCTGTTCTTTGGGACTCTTATTATTAGTATTTCTGGAAAACTTCATCTTGTTTATTCAAGTACTCTGATTTGGAGCTTGTTACAAATGCATCTGACACTATTCTGTACAGTTCTTTAGAGTTTTATATGTATATGGTTTTGACCTGATTGTAAACACTGGTGGCAGAGTTATCACATGTAGCTGTCCTTGAGCAGCAGAGGACTTACTGAGGTGGGGTGGTTGTAGAGTTAAATAAGAATGTTAATGTTTTATGAGACAGCAGTGATGATAAACCAGTTAACATTGGCTCTCCCCTAGAAACTACTAGGTCAGGCTGGGATGCTGTAGTGATTGCTTGATGGTGTCACAGAAAAGCAATAACCATCTTTGCATTATAAGTACTCTTGGTTTTTGTTTTCTTTTTTTCTTCATGAAATTGGTGCTTATCCTTTTTCATGTTGCATGTGTCTGAATTTTCTGGTTAGTCACTCCTTTGCTTTGTTTCCTTTCTGTAGATTTGTGTAGAATTTGATGATGAGTCATGGGAAAAACGAAGATGGATAGAAGTCTACAGCCATAAAATGAGAGCATTTCTGGTGGAGCAAAAACTGGTACTGGCTGAAAGAAAATCTCATGCCGGTTCTGTGTCTCCTGTCCAGTGGCCTGCTATGGCAAGTATACACTTGGCCTAACTCACTTTGGTTTTGCAGTTCTACCTTCTGAGGACAGTGTTGTTACAAGTGTGAATTTCTCAAGTATAGCTTCACTTTTGTACTTGTAACATGTAATATGAAGGGAGACTAAATCTCCTTGTATAGCTAGAGCTAGGCAGAGCCTGTAAGCATTTGAAGTTGGTATGTTCTGCCTAAGATACAGGGATGTATTTTTATGACTTTGCTTCCCTCCCAAGCCGCTGTTCTGTACAAAGTTAATTCCTTCTCCCTCTAGTCTCATGTTTCTTCCTCCTTTCATGAAACTGCAGCTAAGCAAAGAAAGAAAAAGGGTCAATAATAGGATTCTAAGGGTAGTGTATATTTATATCTTGTTTTACTCTGCCTCAAGTGCTGTTAATTCTTCAGTGATCCTTGGTCTGAGACAACAAGAATTGGAATGACTGATATGATGGCTGCCTGGCACAGATGATTTGTGAGATTTGGACTTAGTGCATAGAAAAACCTGAGCTACACTGTACAAGCCAGAGAACTAAGCTTCCTGTAACTGCCATGCATGGCTGGCTAGGCAAATGAGTCAGTGGAGGTGAACAGGGCACATTTCTTAATGTATTCAGCCAGGATAGTTTTACTTGGCTACTTTGAATATTGCTACTCCTAAAAGTAGTTGTTAAATAAACAAAGATGTAAACGTTCTGAACATTAAAACACGGGCTACAACTTCAGCATAATTAATACTCTTAAATCTGCTAAGTATAAGGTATGCAGTGTAATTTGTGCTGCTGCATTTTAGCTGAGCTTTTTTCTTAAGCAAAGCTAATCTAAGCAGATTTTTATTGCTGGTAGGGCCAAACAGGATGGGAGAGGAAGTGGAAAGATGAATCCTTAATTTTATTTCCTGACCTGTGCATTAATATCAGTAGTTCTAACAGTGGATTTTGCTGATACAATGTTCTGAAAACCTGCTTAGTTAAACTTAGCTGTTGTCCCTTTCCAAGTACCTGAACAGTGCTTACTGGATACTTGTCTTCAATTTATGCATAAGGTTTTCCTCATGATGCATTGACGTGTCAGTTCATGCAGTGTACATGTTCCAAAGCTCATTTAGCAGGGGAGTGATGTAGGATAAAGACAAGCACAATACTGGAGGCTGCTTTTACCACTACACAGGCAGGAAAGAAGGGGTCACAAAGGGGGTGTGTGTATTAACTTATTTAAATCTTGGTCTCAACTTGTTGATTCACGTATATAAAAGTTTCTGATGAACAGGATAACTTTACAGAGCTGTAATACCCAGTTGCTCCTGGAGAGAGTCTTGTTCCTTTTCTGGTAATACTGCCCCTACAGAGCTGTCCAGACTGAAGTGAAAATGATAAAGGGGAAGAAAGTCTTTTCTTGCTTGATCAATCCTTTGGAAATCCAAACACATACTCTATCAAAATGATTTTCTTTTTTAATTTAAATGGGGGACAAATATACTTTTCATGTAGGAAGGAGTTATTCTGGATACTTCTGGTGTTCCAGGCTCTCTGATGCTTTCCCACTCAGAGCTGCTACTGCAGGACCAGACAAAATTTAACCTAGGAACAGTTTTGAAGCTTTTAAAGGAAATCTTTGTTTCTTATCTGTTCTTAAAGCCTTTGGTATAACTGTGTTGGTACTGCAGTGTTATAACAACCATGAGACTATAGAAGTATAGCCCCATAGTATGCTGTATATACTACAGCAATGTACTTGTAGTGGTATCACAGCTGTGAGGCTCTCCAAGCATCATACATGCCTAAACTGGGGTTCAGTGTGTTGTCAATGTTGCATAACCTTTGAGAACTTTAATGTAAGCCATACAGCAGCCTTCATTGATTTCTAGTTATTCCCTCAACCTACCATAAGGAGGGCTTCCATTAACATAGCCGCAATTGGAACTTTTAGTATTAGTAAATTCTTTCTGTTGAGCTGAATGATTAATTGTTGTTAATGACAGTCCCCTGAACTGATTTTTTTAACTTATTCTAATAAATTAAATTGATTTCAAGTATAGTCCAGTAACTCCTGTTAAGCATGTATTAGAAACTTGGTTTATCTCGAGAGCTGTGTGTAGATGTGGTATCTTAACAGAGAAATAGATGCAAAACTAAAGTATTTGTTTAAATGCAAATGAGGAATGATGAGGTATTCTTACTCTGTTTCTAAGACAATGTTTATCGCTTTTCTAGACTTACAAATCCTTAGTGGACAAAGCTGGTCTGGGATCAATGGTTTCAGTACGTTATCTTGGTGAAGAGAGATGTGTTTTTCTTTCTAAAGACCTTTTGACACCCATTCAGGTAACCTTCTATGACATTATAAAGATGGAAGATAATCTTATATCTTGGTATTGAAGATAACTCAAGTTAATGTATTCTAAATGCAGACTTTAGATGGGTGAAAACTTGGAGTAGGTGTTTGTTGCTATAGCTCATAAATATCAGTTCTGAATGGAATGTGTCTGCTGAATAAAAACCTTCTGAAGCTGATCCAGGATGTGGTTACTTAAAAGAGCTGCTGAGGGTGTGTGCTAGGACAGTTACTCGGCACAGGTGACAGCAATCCCATCCTGTTGGTGGTGTGGATAATCTGGAATAGTTTAATTTTGTTCTTGCTGTGAAAGGAGTTGCAGGGATGTCTGGAATAAATCTTGCTGTTTCATAGAAACTCATCACATCCTAAACAAATGATGAATTGGTCAGGATGTAAATAAGGTGGTTGAATTACAGTCCCCTTATTGAGCACCAGGAAGGAAGCTGATTAGTGAGAATTGCCCTGCATGACTCGTCAGGCAGTTTTAAGAACAGTATCTCCTAATGGTAAAGGATTTAACCATTTCAGAAAAATACTCTCAAGACCTACAAACAGTCTGAATGAAACTAGTTATAGATGTCTCACGTTGAGGCTGGTGGTAGTGCCATCACTAGTGTTCTACTTTGACTTGTTAAGTCAGCAAATAGACAACTCTTCTTGAGAGACTAACAAAAGAATCACTTTAAGCTAAATTTGAGTTGTAGATTGTTGTCTTGCCTGTGTTGGCTCAACAGCAGAGTAGAGATTTCTGTACATAGCAGTCTTATCTCAATACTGCAGAAGGGAAGATTGCTCTTCTGGCAGCTTGAATAATAGTTTCTTCACTATCAGCTCTTCAGCCTTCTGCTTCTTACAGGTACCAAAGCAGTGTTTGGGATCAAATGCAAAAACCAGCAAAACCTGTTGTTTTTTTTCATTAGAGCTCTGAGCCATTGGTAAAAACTTGCTCTAAAAGTCCCACTTCCATTTTCCATTTGGTGTAGTTGATAATAGAGGAAATAACCCTCCCCTGAAATATAAATACATGATCCCCAGGGAAGTTGTGAATGCTCCATCCCTTGCAGTGTTCAAGGCCGGGTTGGACAGAGCCTTAGTCTATTGCAAGGTGTCGCTGCCCATGGCAGGGAGTTGAAGCTAGATGATCTTGAGGTCCTTTCCAACCGTAACTATTCTATGATTCTGTGAATAACTCTGAATGATTTTGATGTAGCTGTTTCCATTCATGTGAACATTTTGTAATGGTGCTTTGAGATGGGCTAGATCCTGGTGTTATAAATAGAAACAGAAAACTGAAAATATTTGCATTGACATCTGCTCAGGACTACTTAAAGTTGCTGTTTCTGAGAACTTAAAATCCCCAATTAAAAAATCTTGATGGTTTCATTAAAGTCAGTGCTCATTAGCAATGTAGGAAGCCAAAGCTAGGCTGTTTTCAGAACAATATTAAAGTGGACCTGGAGAGCTCACTTCAGTCTGGCTTGCAGATGCTCCATCCAAATGAGTGGTAAGGAAATGATGTCTGCCTCAATAAATCCAGTATCCTAGGAGCTGAAGGAAGACAGGCTAATGAGAAACCTGTTGGACTTCTTTGAATTGCTTCTATTTTGTCTCTAAATATTACGGTGTTTTGTTAATCAAAAGCATTACTCTTAATACCAACTTCTTGTTTTGCTTCCTGAATAGGATGTGGACAATTCCAGGCTTCCTCTTAAGGATGATCAAAATGTTAATGAAGAAATTCAGGCTCTGGTTAAGAAGCACCTGGATGAAACACGCTTGGTGCAAGGTACAAGCATGCTCTGTAGCAGAAAACTGGCAATAAATACTCAAGTCTAAAGGGAAATCTTTGCAGTGATGGGGTAAATGACACTAATCTGGCTTAGGGGTAAAAGCCTTTTTAAAATACTGATACCGCTTTCATAGCAGGGAATGCAAGATGTGAAGGATTATGGAGATTTAAGTTTCAAGAACTCTCTTTCTGAGACTGATTATGTATTTTGGGCGCATAGAGATGACTTGGTGATTATGAAGAGGTATCAGATTTGTAGCAATTCTCACTGGAATTCATAGGGTCATAGGATGGTTTGGGTTGGAAGAGACCTTAAAGCTCATTCAGTTCCAACCCCCTGCCATGGGCAGGGACACCTTCCACTAGAGCAGGTTGATCCAAGCCCCATCCAGCCTGGCCTTGAACACTGCCAGGGGTGGGGCAGCCACAGCTTCTCTGGGCACCCTGTGCTAGCGCCTCAGCACCCTCACAGGGAAGAGCTTCTGCCACTATCTAATCCAAATCTCTCCTCTTTCAGGTTAAAGCCATTATGTGGAGTTGTTTATACATTTGAGTAACCTAATTTTTTTTTTTTTTAGTCTGCTTCTTGCTTATGAAACTTCCCAAGTTTTAGAGACTTTTTTAGTCAAGTTTAATTTGTTGGGTTTATATTTGCCAGCGTCAAATTCTTGATTACTGGATTCACACAAGATATTTGGAGCCATGTGCTTGCATATGCAAGAAATATCTTACTTTTATGGAAAGACAAATATTGCAACTTAGGGTTGTCATTTCCAATACTGTGAAGAGATGAAGAATTGAATCTTCATTTCCGTGTCTCACTGTGAAATGCAGAGGTCAGTCTGGCCTCTGCTGTATGCCTTAACCTCCAGAAAAGTTCATTGAACTATTGCAGGAAGGAGGTAGCTGTACATAGCATTATCATGCTTTTTTATCCTTCTCAGCTCTATGGAAGTTGTCTTAAGGTTCTCAGTTTGTTTGCTTACTTGCATCCTGCATGCAATACTGTCAGCAAATTTATGTTGGTAACTGATCTTCATGCTCCTTTTTTTCTTAAGCTCCTTTTTCTTGTATTTTTTATCAATTCTTAAGGTGGGAAAAACATCATTGGTTCAAAAATCAGAATTTATAGCCTGGATCCATCTACTCAGTGGTTCACAGCAGTTGTTGTCAATGGTAATCCAACCACCAGAACTCTAGAGGTCAACTGTCAGGAGGTAAGAACCACTTGCTGTGGGTTTACAAAGATGGGGAAATGAGTGAGAACTTGTATTTCTATCCCCACCAACATCACTTTTAATTCTGTCCTTACTGTAATAAGCTTAAAGAAAGTAGAGGTTGGTGTAGTGCAGAAAAGCCTGTTACCCCAAAGTGTTTCTATCCGGTGCTGAGGGAATTATCAGACAGCAAGTGGGCTTCTATGCACAATGAGGGAGACTTGAAATTCTTAGTTGAAGAGTAAGGCAAACTTAATCATGGTTTCTTTGCTTTGTGCTGTGCAGACAGTGCTCTGAAGCACTGGTTTATGTGTGTGTTTTTGTGCAGAGACACTGTCACAACAAATATTGTTAAATTCAGCTTGGTATTCAAAGAACCTGGGAGTTAAGTGTCTAAGCTCAGCCTATACCACAGCATCTAAGATAAATCCATTCAAACAGAAACTTTCACCTCTTTAAAGGTCTGCTTCTGTGTTTTTGTTCCTTTCCAAGATTCCAGCTTTAAAAACTCTCGATCCAGAGTTAATTCACGTTGAAATCATATATGACAGCAATGGAAAATCTGGTAAGATCTATTATTGTTTGTCCTTCAAATGCTAAGTGGCAGATTTGTGATAAATAGACTAATCCTGATCACCTTCTCTTCCAGATAAATCTAAAAGAGTTGGGGGCATGAAAAGGAAATCATCTGAGAACAGTGGAAGTGTTGATGCTAAACACCCAAAATCTTCTCTTGAGGTAATACCTTGCTGTGTTATGTATGAGTGTTATATAAAGGTTATGTCACTTCTCAGAACAGCCTTAAATAAGGATTAGACAGAAAAGTAAAATAATAAATATAATCCCTGGGAGGGTGTGTTGAGTTCCTTGAAACTTGTCTAGGCATGAGAGAAACATCTTGTGATAATCAGCAAAAAGTTAACTGAGCCTTAAAGGTTGGCTTTTGTTTTGGTAACTGTGCTTTTTGCCCCCTCCTTCTCTTTGGAGTTAACCTGCCTGGTCATGTATTCTGGAGTGGGAGAAAACCCAAAGCAGTTCTCAAGTCTATAACCTCTGCTTTCTCATGTTCTTTAACTGTTTTGTACTTAAACTCAAAACCGTCAGGTACACTTTCATGCTTTGAGGATTCAAGCAGCAGTCTGGAAAATGTTTTTTCAGTAAAAAAGGGAATATAACTACTTTTCTGGTACTTTCAACTCTGTTATTTCTTTTATGGGTGACCTGCCAAGTGTCACTGAGATCTAAGAAAACAGTCTCAAAGGTCAGAAGATGGTCTGGGTAACTTAATGCTGATGAAAAATCTTGGCTTGGCTAAAGAACAGCACTTCAAACTTGCCCTATAATTTTGTCCCAATGTTTCAGTCCAAAAGTTGCATTTTAGGCAGGCCTTCTGGAAGCTCTGCAGTGGTGGTGGGGTGGGAGGGTTGGGGTTTGGGTTGGGGTTCGGGTTCTTCTGGCTTGGTGTAGGCAGTCCTGTGCTAAGGCAGCTGTGTGTATCTGGCAACGACTGGGTATTGCTATTAGACACCTTGAATGGCTTCACAAAGATAGAGCATGAGGAGCGAGTACAGGATAAGATTCCCCAAGGGAAAGAGTGGTCTACTTTTATTTACTGCTAAGGAAAAGTGTGCAGCAAATAAGTACAAAGCAGCTAATGCATTGCGGTCATAATCTGCTGATGTTTCTGTAGCTCATGCTTGAGTACCTTTAGCATCTTTTGGGTGCTCACTTTGCCATTCTTTTGCTTTCTGTGTATTCAGCCATGGAGCAGCCTGCTTGGTACACAAAAAGCTGCTCTTCGTTTCATATTCCAAATGTCCCGCAGAGGAGTTGCTATGATCTGAATTCATAGCTTGTTTCACCACAGTTTTTTTCTCTAAAATAGTGAAGTGAGATACTTCTAATTCTCCTCAAAGTTTTGCTTCAGAGGACTGGATCCTTTAGCACTTCTGTACTCTCTGGGAAATGTCTTGCAAATGGTTACAAGTGAGTGTACTTTTTAATACAGAAAACAGGAAGTCTGATTGTTTCTCTGATTTTTGGTGGCTGTGAATGTATGGGATTGATAAGGAGCTAGATGATTTTAAGGTCTTTTCCAACCCTAACGATTCTATGATTCTATGAAGTCATGTTTTTTTTCTGTTATCACTTGGTATCTGAGTACTCTTGACTTCTAATGTGGAGTTAATTTCAGTGTTGTTTTGAGAGCTTGCCTCAGTGCCTGACAGCTGTGTTATACCAAAGCTGAAAGGGAAATAGTTTGGAGTTGATGGCAATGGGTCTGTAGTGTAACTTCCAGCCGTAAGTGGAGTATGTGGGAGTGGAATGTGGATGTTAGAGCTGAGGAAGGACCCCTACAGAAAATGACTGGTTTTAAAGACACTAATTTGATAGGCCTGTTTTATTCCTACAAGAACTGTACATGTGATTTCATCAGCACGGCACTTCTTTATTTGACACTTCCTAGAATCCCAGTAAAAAGATCTTCTGACTACAAGGAAGATCACATCTGGATTTTTAGTGAGGTTGTCAGACTAACTTCACAGATTTAATTTTCTCTAGGATTTCAGATGAGGTTTAAGAAGTTATTCTAAGGTCTTTCCATCTTATGGGCTGAGTGAGGAATGGTCTTCAACAAGCTTTATAAAACACACTGGGAATGGCATTAATGTATTTGTCTTTTTAAGCTGAACCCTGCAAAGCAGTATTTCTGCTATCCTGAATTTTCCTAACTGAAAATCTCCCTTTACAGGTCTCTCCCAGTCAGGGAGCTGTGCAGTCAGTACCAACTGTGTTGGGTGAAGCATTGCTTGGCTGTACTCCTGCTAATAAAGACCAAAGGCATCCAGGCCTGCCCCTGCCAGCTAACTCACCACCCAATCTTGGTGCAGAAACTCCTCAGGGGTAAGGAATCAGTTGATGCTTATGCATAAATAACTCCAAATTCCAAAAGTAACTCCAATTCTTAGCAACACAAACTCGGAGGTCATCTTAAAGAACTGAAGTAACCAGTCTTCTGTAATGTTGGCATAGAAAACTGTTAAATTTGATTGCTCTGGACTTTATCTTTGAGGTAGTTGCTCTTCAGTGTCACAAGCCAATGTCGCTGCTTCATTGTACCCGCCTCTAAACTGCTGGGTTATACGTAGGTGTGGTGCCTGCATTTGTCAAACATATTTCTCCCAAGAGAAATGGAACACATTCAGGCAGATGTCCTGCATGCCAGCTTCTTGCACATCAAGTACAGGTCCTTAGTTATATTCCTGTTGAATGCCAGGCTTTAAACTTCTTTGTTACCCCAATGTCCTAGGTTCAGCAGTAGCAGTCATTTTTCTCCTTCTTAGTAACTGGTGCAGTGCTGTTTTTGACTTTCAGCCTGGCAACAACGCTGATAACGCCAGTGTTTTTAGTTGTTGCTAAGTAATGTTTACTCCAACCAAGGACTTTGAGTCTCATGCTCTGCCAAGGAGGCAGGGAAACCAGGGGGAAGCAGAGGCAGGACATTTGACCCAAACTAGCCAGAGGGGTATTCCATACCACAGCACATCATGCCCTGTGTGCAAACTGGGGTCAGTTACCTGGAAGGGCTAGATCACTGCTTGGGTTGGGCTGGGTATCATTCAGTGGGTGGTGAGCGGTTGTATTCTCTTCCCTTGTTATTTCCCTTATCATTACCATTGGTGGTATCAGCAGTGGTTTTGTATTATACCTTAGTTACTGGACTGTTCTTATCTCAACCCATGGGAGTTATGTTCTTTTAATTCTCCTCCCACATCCCTCTGTGAGCAGGGGAAGAAAGAAGGGGGGGGAGTGAGCGAGCGGCTGTGTGGTTCTGGGTTGCCAGCTGGGCTTAAACCATGACAGTTCTTTGTGATGCCCAGTGTGGAGCACAGAGGGTTGAGATAATGACAGATCTGACTGGAGTGTTTCTAACCATATTTGTGATAAGCATTTATTATTTTGGATTAATAGTCACTTGTCACAATGCTGGTTTATTGGCTCTCAGAGTTGTTGCTCTTGATCTCAGAGTTTCAGCATGTTGTACCTTACTTACAGCTGCTTTTTTAGTGTTTATCAGCTGGGGGGCTTGGGCTAAGGTTGTTGTTTCACTGTGCTTTAGGGTAATGACTTGTAATACAATAGGCTCATTGATCATGAAACTCGTCTGGCTTGCATTCCCAGTGTGGTCTTCACCTCTGTACTTCGGGAGGTATATAATGAAAGTATTTAGCAATTACACATTTTTTTCCTCTTTGGCTGGTCAACCTATAAGAGACATTCCCTTACCTTCCCAGCTCCCCTGCCAGACTATTTACAGCATCATTTGAGAGTTCTGAAGGTTTTGAAAGGCATTTGGATACCCTTGAGACGTGCCTGCTGATTGTGATGGGGATCACCATGTTGGCACACATACAGAGTGTGTTTTACTCGCAACCATTTTGTCTGATCTCGAAAGTTAAGCAGTCAGGTTTGGGTCTTGTCTAGGGTTAGATGACAATATAGGAAGACCAAGAGATTTTTCCCTGAGGTTGGACAGTCATGAGTGGCAGAGTGCGTGTGACAGTATGGGCAAGTATCTAGGCCAGTGGGCCCCTGCAGTGCTTTGGAACTTCACCACTGAACGAGGGCAAAATCCAGAAAAACTAGTAAAACACTTAAATGAGGTGTGTTGTCATCCTGGTCATACCAGAGAGGGACAAATCATGGCAATGTGCTGGGGCTTGGCCTATGCTTACAGAGCCCTGTTCAACACTATCCAGCACCTTCAAAGGGAAAAAAGATGTCTCTGGATCTGATGGCAAAGCAACAGACAACACAGCCACTCTAGCTGCAAGTACAGCAGCTGCTCAAACTGACTACAACAGACCATGCAGCTACTCCAATTCTAAGCACAGCAACTACACCAGCCCCAGCAACAAGTACAGCAGCTACCCAAACCCAGCAGCAATAGACAGTGCAGCTGCTGGTGCTACTCAGGCTCCAAGCACAGTGGCTGCACCAACCTCAACAACAGATACTACAGCCACTCCAACCCTAGTGACAGACACTGCAGCCACTCCAGCCACAGTGATAGTCACTGTAGCTAAACCAAAGGACCAGTTCGTGCCAATATCAGTTGCCCCTGTACACAAGAGGAAAAGCAAACAAAAGAGACAAAAAAACAACCCATACAGTGAAGAAATATGTAGAAACAATGCACTTACTACATGGGACATCATCTGAACAAGAGTTATCATTATGTGGATCAGAGGAAGAAGAAGAGGTGACTTCTCAACCCTGGACCTCAACTGAGCTACCGAATATGTGAAAAGATTTCACCCATCATCCAGAGGAGCACATTGTCACCTGGTTGCTCTGATGCTGGGACAATGGGGATCATGGTCATGGACTAGAAGGTACAGAAGCCAAGCAGCTGGGATCACTTGCTAGAGAAGGGGGAATTGACAAAACAGTTGCAAAAGAGAAATGGTCCCTCAGCCTTTGGATGCGGCTCTTGGCAGCTGTGAAGGAAAGGTTTCTGTACAAGGATGATGTTACGAGTCATTTGGTCAACTGAACCATGCTAGAGAGAGGCATCCAGTCTCTGAGGGAGTCAGCCATTGTAGAGATGATATGTCGTAGGCCGGATGCTGGGAGTGCACCCATAGATCCATATGAAGTTGAATGTACACGACCCATGTGGCAGAAATTTGCATGTTCACCATCATCATGCGCCCACTCATCGGCATCAATAACCTGGCGTGATGTAGCACCACCAGCAGTGGATGAAGTGATTCGTCATCTCTGAGAGTTCGAAGACAGTCTCCCCCCTTCCATGATTTCAGCTGTGGAAAAACCGTCCCAGGAGTTCAAACAATTGAGAGATGACCTAGCTGATCTATCCAGCTCTGCGCGTGTGCCAACCCACATTTCAGCTATTAGCAAAAGGCATCCTACTGCTCAAGAGAGAAGATATAGAAGGTATATGCCATGGGTCACCCTATGGTTTTACCTGCGGGATCATAGAGATGACATGAGGAAGTGGGATAGAAAACCTACCTCAGCTCTGGAGGAACAGGTGCATGAACTGAAGAGGAGAACAAACGTCAAGGCTGATCATCCCATGAAAGCTGCGGCTTCAGTCTCTGGTGAGCAGGTTCCCAGATGGAGTGAAAGAGCTGATTTTACTCCAGCTCCTGTGATAAAGACTAATCCCTGTCAACAAGACGTAAGTGACCGATGTTGTGATGACCATTAGAGGGGCCCTGCCTCCAGCCAGGTGGAGGTAGGGGACAATCAGATTTACTGGACTGTGTGAATCAGATGGCCTGGCACATCAGTCCCACAGAAGTATAAGGCTCTAGTAGATACTGGTGCACAGTGTACCCTGATGCCATCAAGCTGTCAAGGGGTGGAACCCATCTATATTTCTGGAGTGACAGGAGGATCCCAAGAGTTGACTGTACTGGAGGCTGAAATCAGCCTGACTGGGAGGAAGTGGCAAAAGCACCCTATTGTGACTGGTCCAGAGGCTCCATGCATCCTTGGCACAGACTACCTCAAGAGAGGGTACTTCAAAGACCCAAAAGGGTACCGGTGGGCTTTTGGTATTGCTGCTTTGGAGACTGAGGAAATTGAGCAGCTGTCCACCTTGCCTGGTCTCTCAGAGGATCCTCCTGTGGTGGGGTTGCTGAAGGTCGAAGAACAACAAGCGCCAATCACGACCACAACAGTACACCGGCGGCAATATCGCACCAACCGTGACTCCCTGATTCCCATCCACCAGCTGATCTGTAGACTGGAGAGTCAGGGGGTGATCAGCAGGACCCGCTCGCCCTTCAATAGCCCCATATGGCCAGTGCGAAAGTCTAATGGAGAATGGAGACTAACAGTAGACTATCGTGGCCTGAATGAAGTCACACCACCATTGAGTGCTGCCGTACCGGACATGCCAGAACTTCAGTATGAACTGGAGTCAAAGGCAGCCAAGTGGTATGCCACGATTGATATTGCCAATGCATTTTTCTCAATTCCTTTGGCAGCAGAATGCAGGCCACAGTTTGCTTTTACTTGGAGGGGTGTCCAGTTCACTTGGAACCGACTGCCCCAGGGGTGGAAACACAGCCCTATCATCTGTCATGGACTGATCCAGACTGCACTGGAACAAGGGCAAGCTCCAGAACATCTGCAATACATTGATGACATTATTGTGTGGGGCGATACAGCAGAAGAAGTCTTTGAGAAAGGGAGGAAAATAATCCAAATCCTGCTGAAAGCCGGTTTTGCCATAAAACGGAATAAGGTCAAAGGACCTGCACAGGAGATTCAATTTTTGGGAATAAAATGGCAAGATGGACGTAGACAGATCCCCACAGATGTGATCAACAAGATAACAGCAACGTCCCCACCAACTAATAAGAAAGAAACGCAAGCTTTCTTGGGTGCAGTGGGGTTCTGGAGAATGCACATCCCAGATTACAGTTCGATTGTAAGCCCTCTCTATCATGTGACCCGGAAGAAGAATGATTTTAAATGGGGCCCTGAGCAGCAACAAGCCTTTGAGCAAATTAAACAAGAGATAGTTCATGCAGTAGCCCTTGGACCAGTCTGGACCGGGCCAGATGTAAACCATGTGCTCTATACCGCAGCTGGGGAGAATGGTCCTACCTGGAGCCTCTGGCAGGCACCCTGCTTCTGTCACAAAAACGAATATAATGGTAGAAATAATGTGACAGGAAAACACTAATTCTGTGTATTAACGTTAAAAGAAGTGGTGTAGGTTTGGGGCTGGGTTTTGTAACTTTTTGTGTGTATCTCACAAGATAAATGCAGAAAAGATGTTTTCAATTTGAGCTTTTTTGTGTGGGAGCAGTTTTGATACCTCAGTATAGACTTGTATTATCAGCCAGGAGTTCCTTGAGCATTAAAATCTTCTCACACAGACACGCAAGTGAAATGGATTTGGTTATACAGTTGTCGCATGGACAAAGCTAGAAAGTAACTGTTTCATTGTGAGAGAAGGTAGTGGAGTAGCTGCAGTACTGAAGTTTGTGTGTCTCCCAATTTGTGTACAGCTTGCTCATTCTGTTCAACTCTTGGAAAAATCAAGCCAAAAGAAATCCCACCTAAAACCCCCCAAACCTACTTAACACCAAGTTTACAATCTTGGAACATCATAATTCAAAATAACATATTTAAATTCATTCTTTCGGGCCTTAAACGCGACTAGATTTGAGCATTAGATGTGCTGATTTGTTTGATATATGTCTGATCATTGCATGTTGTTTTCTAGCACGTGTAGACGAAGCTTACCAGAAACTCATCCTTCTTGTCTTAATACTGGAATGAAACCACTGAAGGAGGATCTGCCAGCCTTTCCTAAAGTGGGCTTTGTATCTAAAGAACAAACACAAAACCTTACCGATCCAAATGGTAAATATACCTCTTTGACAACCTCAAGATCTTCATCTGTGACTGATTCAGCTAAGGAAAAAGGAACCAGCATGAAAACCACCAATGAACCTCTTGTGAAGCCCACCACAAACTTTCCAAAAGAATACACTGCTGTAAAACAGTTGCAGCATCCAAACCCTTCCATAGCAATACCCCGGGGCAGCAGCACTGCTGAGCTGCAGCGGACTTTAGACTGCAGACCCTCCACCTCAGATGCTCATCTTCACTGTTTTACTGAGTCTGGATTTAAATCACACAGCAATTGCAACAGCCACAAAGGAAACAAACCAGATGAACTTGCAGACATGGAGCTTTTTATTAGAAGAAATTCAGCTGAGATTCCTTATGACAGAACTGAGAGTGAAGGCTTCTGGACTGGAAGTGCCAAGGTCCAGGATAATAGTGAGTACTTTCAAAACCTCATGTCATTTGAAAGTCTTTGTGTAACTACGTACAAGTAAGTCCTTTGTAACATCTGCGAAATTAGTAAGTTAAATTGTGTGAGTGAATCTGGAATTTGAGTAATTTATGAGTTCTTTTACAAGGGGAATGCATTTTGAGGAAAAATGTCCCTTCCTGATGAAGGAAAAGGACTAATTGTTAAATTGTAGAAAGAAGTTGTTACCAAATGTATGCAAGAACAGAACAGCTTACAAAAAGCAAGGTTCTCTTTGGAATGCAAATGCTGATGGCATAGTGAGACCTCTTTTTTTTTTTTTTTTTTTTTAGCATTGCTTCTAAATCTTGTAAGCAAGGTGAGAGGGAAAGTATTCTCAACAGGGCTTAGCTCAAAAGGAGCTTTCGTTTCATTACTGTTCTGAAAACAAAACCCCAAACCCAGAGTCAAACACTACCCAACCCCAGAATAACCCACCTCATCTCTTTCCTGTGCTCAGTTCCATGTGGGGAGCTCTTCAAGTTTTCCACATGGGACAGAGTGGGAAAGGCTGTAGTTCTTAAAAGAGCTGGACTGCTGATGTTATGTGTTGTGCTGTGCATCAGTTGATTGTTCAGGGTTCTGGGAATCTCCCGGCACACCCACCTCTCCTTCCCAGTCTCCTGTTGCTTGGCGTGGGGTTATGATGTGCTATTCCATAAATAATGTGAGTATGGAGCCAGCCAAGCAGTGGCTGTTGTGCCCTGGTAGGCCTCACCTCCAGTGTGGGAGGAAGACAAGTGTTTGGCATCTGTTACAGCAAGGTGCCAAAAGCAGTTGCAGCATGAAGGGTGCAAACAGGACTGAGAAATGGCCAGGTTGTGCTTTTGACAGTCTTGTGTTTTGATAGGGATGCTTGAAGACAAAGCTGTCTTCAGTACTTGTGAAGTGTGGTTGCTTTGTGCCTTGGTCTGCCCAGCACTCAACTACTCCAGCCTTGAGAGCTGAAGGATTTTCACTGAAAGCAGATGCTGATTCCTCTGTGGAGGAGCAAAAGGAGTTGTTAAACTTGAGTCCACAGTGGACTTGACTCCAGTGGAACTATTGCTTGAGACAGTTTCTACTCACCTGAAAAGAGCTCTCTGCCAACTGCAAACACTTCAGCATAACTTTGTTTCCATGTAAGGTGAAATAGGAAAATCTGATATGGATCTTTTACTAAAATGCAGTTACTTGCACCTTTTATGTAAGAAACTGCATCTTGTCTAATCTCCACTGCTCTTCCCTGCAGTACTAGTTCGCAAGTCCATTTTATCAGATGCTTCTAAAGTGAAGAAGCTGCAGCAAAGTGGAGAAGCATTTGTACAGGATGGTTCCTGCAATAACATTGCACCTCACTTGCACAAATGCAGGGAATGCCGTTTGGATAGCTACAGGAAGAACAAAGAGCAGAAAGACTCCACTGTCTTCTGTCGATTCTTTCACTTTAGAAGGTAAGAACCATTTTGACTCTTTATAGACCCTAATGCTCTTTAAATGTGAATAACATGTCCAAGTTGAATGACCTTTTTTCCTTTCTGAAAGGGAGTCTGTTGAGTGCTCTCTGTGTAGCTGTAACATTGACTTCCATCTTCCAGGACACACAGAAACCAGTTATTTGGTCCAAGTGGTCTCATTTAGATCTCTGGTTCAAACCTAGCTAGATGTCAGTGTGTAGCTGTTCAGCTCTAGGACTATACCTAACTACTGAGAGGTTGCCTTTGGTTTTGAAGCCCTTAGAAATGTTGTAACTGCTTAATTTGAGTAGAAAATATTTTGGCAGTACTTTGAGCTCTTGATTTTGCTGTTCTGGGGTGAGTGCCAGTGGGACAACATGAGTTTGGTTTGAGTGCTCTCAGTAGTACTGGAGGCACGAGTGAGAGTGTAGATTCTGTGCATGTCTCGTGAAGTTTATCAGTTGGATGTGTGGAATGTCAGACCTATACCCCCAGCTGCAGAAGAGCTGTAGGCTCTGATATTGTCAGTGGAAGAGTCAAAACCTTTGTTTAATCTACTGAATTCTTAAGATACCATGAGGAAACCATTCAAAAAGGTGCTTAAGCTGTTACTGTAACATAAGCCTGTCTGGAAGCCCAGGCTGCATGTTGTCTGACTGTGTTTAACATGTCCTTCCCTTTGTTTTTAAGTTGTGTAAATATTTTTCCATGAGCTATTTGATCTCACATCCAGATGTTGTTGCATGCTTCTCGTTTTCCCCCACACCCACTTACACTTTGAAGCATGGACTGTGTTTCCAGGGAAGAAGGTAACACCTGTGATATTAGAGAGGAAAAGCAAGAATACTATTTACTGTCCCACAAGGGAGATGGGGAGCTGACTTATTCTCAGTTTTCCTTTTGGCTTTCAGAGGGATGACTTTCTTTAGAGGCTCTAGGTAGACTAGAAAAGCTGTAAAAAAAGCTGCAAGACCTTTTGAACAGAGAAAACTGAAAGCAGAAAGGTTACAAAGACAATGAGAAAAGAACCTCTTCCACTCTTCTGCTTGTTTCTTGAGGTTTAGTCTTCCACTACAACACTGTCCCTCTTGCACATTTTGTAGCTAAAGGTTTATAGAAGTGCTACTAATCTGTTGTTTAATCTCAGATTAGAGGTTTTCCTGTAGTAAATCTTGGGATAATCTGACATTAACTGAAGCATTCAAAAATGTGCGAGACCAGAGTAACAACAGACTGCTGATTCACCTTCTCGGGGTAAGAATCCAGACTTGCAGTGCAGTTCAAAGCCATTGAATCCTCTGGTTAAAAGCATGAAGCTAATAGAACCATCCCTTTTTAGTGAAGGTGGGATCCTTCATGACAAAGCATTTTAAAACCTGTTAACCTGATTTTGGTTTTGTGTGAATAAGAAACAGTATAAATCTTCAGGATTTTGTAGAAGATTTCCTAATGTTTTGAGTCTTTTTAAACAAGGAGGACATCAAGTGTGCTTAATGCTAATGACTAGTATGTTTATCCATGCCTATTATAACCATTAAGAGCTAAACTCATTGACATACAGGATACATATTTACAATTCAAGCACTGACTCATTGGAGTGAATGTAAACTAAGAAAGCATTTGAGATGATGGGTTTCTCCTCTTCCCTCTTTCTTCCCACAGGTTGCAGTTTAATAAGCATGGAATACTACGTGAGGAAGGCTTCCTAACTCCAAATAAGTATGATCCTGAGGCTATTAGCTTGTGGCTGCCTTTATCAAGAAATGTTGTGGGTCTAGATCTTGACACAGCCAAGTACATCCTGGCCAACATTGGAGACCACTTCTGTCAGCTGGTGATATCTGAAAAGGAAATGATGTCTACAATTGAACCACACAGTAAGATCAACTTGTATTAAAATAACCTGTGTTTTAATAACTATATGTGAAACTTCAGGCTTCTGACCTATGTGAAAGTATATTGCATGCATTTGGAAATCTCATGTGAGACTTCAGTGTTTGCCCCTCCTCTGAGAGGGGTAATGGTTAAGAGCCAGTGTGAACTTGTGTCAACAGCTCTGCTCTCAGGCGGGGGAAAAGGAAGAGAAATTCTACCCTCTTTGTCAAAGACTTTTCTCAGTTTATCAAATTACTTTTCCTGTTGCAGAGAGTGTAATTCTGTTATGAAACAAAGTGTAAAGAAACCCAGCAGGCAGCTGACAACAGTCTGTTCTTAGCATGTAAATGAAATAAAGCTTTCATTTTGGCTGAACAGATCCTACTGGATTGCTTTGGTCCTACTTTGTTCTTGCATAATGGACCTAGTGCTGCCTGTCAAGTCAGTAAGGAAAACCTTTTCCTCCATCTGAAAGTTTCCAGTAGGACTGCTTTAAGTAACTATATATACATATAGTGTATGCTTTCCTGTCTGCTATCTGTATATAGCAGACAGGGCAAACCTTGTGTCCTCAAAGACAGGTTTTCTTGCCACGTCAGAACCTTTCTGTAGCAAACATGAGCAGACAAATGGGGAAGGCTGTGATCTTGTGTAATCACTTCTCAGAGTAGAATGACTCTTAAAACCATATTTGTTCTTTGGATTATGAGTACTTGACTGAGAAGCAGAGCAGTTTAAAAGACTGTCTACCCTATGTCTTATGCATTTGGATAGTACTGACATTATATAATGATAATTCCAGTTTGAGTCACTGCAGGGTTTTGAATAGAAGACAAAAACCTGAACAGGCTTGAATGCCCTTCACAAGGGAAGGGAAGACTTGAGATACTTTAGAATATCTTACCCTGCACCATTTGGAATCTGCAAGCTGTGCTCTTTGCTTGAACTGGAACGTATTTAGGCCTTTGGAGCCAGAGTATCGATAGGCAGAGTGAGAGGTACAGACTGGAATACTGAAACACTTTGAGAAGGATGACATTTTGGCTGGAATTTATGAAACAAAAGGGAGGTGTGGTGTTTCTTAATAGCAGAGGATGCATCTACTAATGTACCTACCAGAGACACCCTCTGCTACAGAAACCAAAGACGCGTGTGAGTTCTGGAGGTGGTTTGAAAGGAGCAAAACGTCATGAATTCCTCTTCACTTATTGTCCTGGCTGGTGAGAGTGAAGAAACTCCATTTCATTAAACTGGAGGGTATTATTAATGCTCTGGGTAGGAAAGAAGTGATTTACAGTCTGGATATTCTTCTGCTTTGAACAATTCAGGAGAAGAGCCCTCACTCAGTTGGCACAGGACAGAGGTAGATTCTTTCTGACACCACAGTTTGAAGCTATGGTAAAGCTTTCTTTGCAGGGCTCAGGTGAAACGCTTCCTTGTCATTAAAAGTCAGTCTCTGACAAACTGACCTTTTCCAGAAGCCACAACAGCTCATTCAGGTATTGCTTTTTAGGAGATCATTTGTATTTGAGTGTTTTTGCACCCATAGTATGTCTCAGGGTCAAGCCCTCTTCTCTGTTACCAGTGAGTTACTAGCCTGGCAGGCAGAGCTAAAACACAAACGAGCATGAAGATGATGATTATTTGGGAGGGCTTCCTTAAAGAGAGTTCCTTAAAGGATTAGTAGAAAAGCACAAGTGAAACTATCCCTGTGTAATAAAAGATTGACCAGTGTAGAAAGAACAGCTTGTTGGGTCACACTGCTCCTTGGCCATCAAGTGCCAGAAAGGAGTCTATGGAAAGAGGAGATGCAATCAAACTACTGAGAGGAAATAAAAGAATAGGAGGAGTAGAAAAGGACAAAACGTCCCAAACTGAAATATCATGCAAAAGGTAACAAAAATCCCCCCTTCATCCTGTTTTGGGGGGAAATTGGCCTAGGAAATGGTAACCATAGTGCGTGTGTTTAAAAGCAGAGAAGAATGGAGGTGGTGCTATCTGGATTTCAGCTTCCTGGAAGAATTCTGAAGCAAAGTAATCAAAAGAATTCTTACCTCCTACTTAAGAACAAGTTGTGCCAAGTTATTCTAGTTCTGTTCCATACATAGCTAATGGGCATTCTGCAGAAGGAAAGCAACAGATGTCTGGGATGCTGGTGTGGTGTTTTTAGCCTACATTAGGACATGGTCTCTCATAACTTGCTTTTAAAATGAAGAGGTGTTGTGGGCAGAGGAGTTTCAGAGCAGTTACAAGTGTGGAAGGTGGTAGGAGGAGCAGACAGATGTGTGCTTTTGTCTAGTCTAGTTTTCTAACTGGTGTCATAATGAAACTGAGAGCAGGCTGAAATAATCTGTACATCATGCAGCCCTGAAAGGGCTTGTAAGATACTGTCAGTGTTTGGGATGTTTTGAGTGAACTGAAAAAGTGGTTTGGGATGAGGAGAGGTGGAGTGTGATGGTGATAAGAAACCTGAACAGCAGTAGTGAGTTCTTTGGAGAAGCTACTCACCATTCTGAATGATACACACCTGTAAACACATAGAAAACCTGCTGAAAAGAACTACTTTACCATTACACTGTAGAGCAGAAAACAAGGACAAGCTGTGTGTAGCAATCTTGACATTAAGCTTAGCTTGCTAATAACTTCTTTCTGAGGTAGCTGTGGAACTTCCACTTGGGTGGATGTCAGCAGTGTGCATGTTCACTTGGGCAAATACATGCTGGGAGTAAGAGATGCAGTTGGTGCTGCACAGGAGACAGCAACACTGAAGTGCTTCAATGGAGCTATATTTAAGGTGCAAATACTTAGTTTTGGTTAAACTAAATGGTTTCGGTTTCAAGCCTTGGGTGACATGGTCTGGTGTGAGGCATCCCTGCCCATGGGAAAGGGGTTGGAACTGGATGATCTTAAGGTCTTTTCCATCCCAAACCATTCTATGAAACTAACACTTTGGGAATTCCCTCAGGACAGGTCGCCTGGAAGCGTGCAGTTCGTGGAGTCCGGGAGATGTGCGACGTGTGTGACACCACAATCTTCAACCTTCACTGGGTCTGCTCCAAGTGTGGCTTTGGTGTGTGTGTAGATTGCTACAGGATGAAGAAGAAAAGCTTGCATGAAGGTGAGGATGCATATTGCTACTTCCAACAAAGGAATTCAAGCCTTCAAACATGTAATTTGAACTTGGAAGTCAGTAACAACCCTCAGCAACAAGACAATAAACCTGCCCAACTAAAAGAACTCATTATAGACCTATGGTTTGGTGTGTCAATAGCAGTAAAACATGCAACCTTCTAGAGAAGGGTGAAAGCTGTGCTAATAAAACAATGTATTGGTTTTGTCTTACAGATGATGACTCGGATACTTTCTCCTGGTTTAAATGTGTGAAGGGGCAGGTACATGAACCAGAGAATCTGATGCCTACACAAATCATTCCTGGAAAAGGTATCTTAAATATTAGGTTGGGCTGAAAGGAAGCTGTAGGCTTTTACTGTCCTTTGTATGTTGTTGAGATAGTACTGAATGAGGGGAGGTTTTAGTAATGAAGTTAGTAAAAGCTTAGTCCAAAGCGTGGAATAGCCTTTGTGTTCTTAGTACTGCTTTATTATGTTTGACCTTTATAAAGAAGTATCACAACTTCTCATTTACTGATGAACTCTCTTCATGTACTATTGGTTACCTGCATAGATACACCATTTCTTATAAAGGCTTATTGAATGCTGGATGCTCTAATTCCACATGAGCTCACTAATGACTCTTTTCCTTCAGCTCTCTACGATGTAGGTGATATTGTTCACTCCATAAGAACAAAATGGGGAATAAAGGCTAATTGTCCTTGTGCAAATAAGCAGTTCAAAGCACTATCAAAGCCAACTCTAAAGGAGGATTCAAAACAGGTATTGCTACTGTCTCATGTTATGTCTGTGGTACAGGCTTGCCTCAGCTACTGCCTATGGTAACTGACTTTATAAGGGTGCCAGTGCTGACCATTACTGCTAACCCATCATGTAGGGTTTTCTTCACACCTTGTGTTCAGTGTTCATCTTTCTGTTTCAGTTCTTTTTTTTTTGGTGGGGGGGGGGAATCTCATTTTCTCATGCCTCAGGAAGTGACCTATCCTTGAAATATGCTCAGTGAGGATTTCCTAGGACAAAAATAGGATTAGATTGAGAGAACCCATAAAAGTCTTAAGAACAGACTAATGGAAATGGTTGTAAAGTGGGGACTACCCCTTGGCTCCTGGAGATGTAATACATGCAGCATCTAGAAGAATAAGTAGGGTGGAAGAGCATTGGAATCCATAGATTAACTGAACAGGAATAAAACTAAGGGCTAGAGCAGCATGGAGAAGTACTGGTTTCTCTGTGAATCCTGGTAGGAATTTTGCTGTTCATTATATAAAAGATTCTAACAACTCCAGTCCCCCACCATGTGCTTATCTGTAAATGGATGTAATGTGTGTTGCTTTTGAAAGCAGAGCACAAATTAAGGGCTTAGTTTTGCAGCATCTTGCAAGAAAACAACTGAATTAAGTAACTTCGATTTTGTTGTATGATTATTCATAAGCTTATTTGGAAACTAAATGTGTAAGAAGCAGGCTGAGCTTGACTTTGGTGCTGGTAATCAATAGGAGAGTTGAAAAATATTGTGAGGAAGATGGCTATGGGTTTCAGAAGTTAGCTTATGACTGACCTAGCTTCAGTCTTCTGTTTGTTTCCTCTGTGACCCTGGGCAAAGAGCAGGATTGAAATATATCTGTACCTCTCTGTGTAAAATTAGGTCCTGCACTGGTTGTATTAGGATCAGCTTAAAGTGTGAAGCATTGTATTATGTTTGGAATCCTTCCCAAACATCAGCAGACATTGAGATGAAATAAAGAAGGTAGCAGTAAGCAGGTACAGGTGCAGAATAATTTCTTGACTGGAAAGTATTTGAGCAGAGAGAAGAAATTCAGCTGGTTATGCAGGAATCCCAGGTCAGAGCAGCAGTTCTGGTTAGTCTGTTATTAGCATATCTGGTAAAGAGCAGATAAATCAGCTGAGTAGATGTGCAGCAGTCCTGTGCTTGTTTGTGCTGGCCAGGCTGGTGCTGTGCTCATATGCAGGTGTATTTTTGGCAGGTGAATGGACTTTTGCCCCCACTTTTAGGAGCACTACATATCTGTTTTAGTCTACCAGACTGGACCCCAGCTTAGCCCTGGTCTGAACATCAGCTATCACTAGAATTGAGAGAGCACTGCTGTTACAGCTGCATTTAGTTCCCAAAGCAACCCAGAAGATGCATCTGGGAAACTCTGCTTTCTATGCTTGTCTTGAGGGGTGATAGACTCTCTTGCCTGCTCTTAAAATGTCAGGACATCCCAAATCCTGCTGGATCATCATCTCTGGCTGCTACTGAGATGCAATGCTGACCTCTTGTGGAAACCAGATAGATTTTGAAGGGCCAAACCATTTCAGTTTCGGTTTTAAAGAATGAATTTGGACATGGTACTGCTTCCCCTTTCAGAGCAGAGTTTGTGTGTGCCTAATCAAGTTCTCACTTTGTTCTTTCAGAACTTGGTACCTGGAGAAAGGACCAGCCTTCAACATAACAGCTTTGTCCTGAGCCCACAGGCCACTACACAAGATCCTCCTCTAAAGTCAGCAATTGGAAGTAAACAAAGTGCATCAGTAAATACTCCTTCATTAAGTTGGTTATCAAATCTAACAAGTGGAAATGTGAATAAAGAAAACAAAGGTATGTGCAGAACCAGTGAAGAGTAAACCCTTTGTGGCTGTTCGTCAGAAGAATGAAGACCAGCCCCAGCTGTATCTTGTAGTGGGAAAGATGCAGTCTGCCTGCTGGGATGGGTGTTCAGTGCCCTTGCTGCCAAACTGGTCCATGGCAACAGCTGGGAGTAAAACCTGGCAGGGTTAGCCTGTTCTGCTTTGAAAACTGGGTTAATATCCCATTGATGCAAGGATTCTTAAATTCAATGTGAGAATGTGTGTATTTCAGAATGTGTGATTTTAAAAAGCTTTACAGTACTGAAGAAAGTTGAGTGAAAGGAGTATTTCATCTGCATGTGTTGAGAGGAGATCTATATATATGTACATACATACATGTATGCATGAGGTATCTTGTTGTCTTCAAAACCCAAAGCATGCACTTCTCATGGTTCGGAATCCTTCCTCCATTCTCACATGTTCTTTTCATTTCAGAGAAACTCCTCATACCTATTCCAAAGAATGAGAACAAACCTCTCCAGACACTCCCTAGCTTAGCCAAGCCTGCTGCAGCCCTGCAGACGTTCAACAGTGCAATACTGACACCCGTGAGCAACAACAACACGGGCTTCTTGAGGAACCTGTTAAACTCTTCTGGAGGAAAGGTATATGAAAAACTGAAGTTTACAGGTTTGAGTTAATACCAGGCTTAGGCACTGTTCTAACCTGTGAATGTCACAGCAGGTAAAATCCTGCCTTCATTTGGGAAAAGACTTATTCAGTCTCTATACTGCAGTGCTCCAGTTAATGCTTTTCAGAGTAGCAGCTTAGTGGTACTATCAGCAAGTCTTGCTAAGGGAGGGGGCTGGAATTAGATGATCTTAGGGTCCTTTCCAACCCAAACTGTTTTATGTTAGAGCAGGTTAATTTCCTTAGGCTAGTGTCTGGCAGGTGCATTCACTGATATGGCCATTAGACTCAAAGAAGCATCAAGGACCTTGCTGAAGGGGAAAACCTTCTGTGATGGGTAACTATCTCATATCCTGTTTGCAGACTGGTTCACTTGGGGCATTCCTGAGCTTTGTTTACTCTTAGATATGACTTCAAAATGGTGGGGTAAAATATTGGTGTTGAGTTCCTTGATGTTCTTTATAATAAAGAAAGCCCTGTTCCCTGCTGTATTTCATGGCTTTCTGCAGCATTGCTGACACGTAGAGCAGAGCAGAACTACTTATGCCAGAACACTGTAGACAAAGGTCAGAAATGGCATTGACATTTAATGTTGGTGAGTTTCTAGACAGCAAAGCTCTGCAGATCTTTGTTTCTTTGCATGACTGTGAACTCAAGTGCAAGTTCTGAAAGTGGGATATACCATCTTTAAAGTCTGCAGGACAAGGAACATTAAAGTGCACCAACTTCTTTGTGTGTTCTTCTGTCTCTCTTTTTAAATCAGACAGACAACGGACTCAAGAGTACACCCAAAATCCTTGACGACATTTTTGCTTCCCTGGTGCAAAATAGAACCATTACAGACCTGCCTAAGAAACCTCAAGGACTGACTATAAAGCCTACGATCATGGGCTTTGACACGCCGCACTACTGGTTATGTGATAACCGCTTGCTGTGTCTGCAAGACCCCAACAATGAAAGTAACTGGAACGTCTTCAGGGAGTGCTGGAAGCAGGGACAGGTATTGAAGTTTTCCTGCTTTCAGAATTCATATTCCTTGCCCTTTGTGCTGGTATAAACTTCCTGCAACCATGAGCAACACTAAACCATACATGAGATGTATGACATGAGCACTGTTAAATCCTTGGATAAAAGGATGTGTGTTTTACTATTCAATATCAGTTTCTAAACACACTTTTAACAATGTGTGGTTAAATCATCTATTTCCTGGAAAATGCCTTTCCCATTGCCTACTGGGCAAAGCAATGACCAATATAGAAACAGCACCTTTCAGACTGGGAGGGACTAGGTAGAAAGTCTCTGTACCTTGGTTGCTGTCTTAAGATGTGCACTCAAATGAAAAGCTCATTGTATTCACCTTCTTTGAGGTCCATAGGTACAAATACTTCACCTTGTGAAAGCATCTTTTGAGTCCTCCTCTAAGGATTAAATAGTGTGGGGTCTTGGGTTTTCTTTTAGTATTTATTCTACCCATGGTTGTCTTCAGTGTTGCTACTGTATAAAAACATTACTCTGGTTGGAATTAGAACTTCTGGTGCTGAATAGTTCTTCACTATATATTCTTCTTCCTCACAGCCTGTAATGGTGTCAGGAGTGCATCACAAATTAAATGCAGACCTCTGGAGACCAGAATCCTTTAGGAAAGAATTTGGCCAACAGGAAGTGGATCTGGTTAACTGCAGGACCAATGAAATCATCACTGGAGCTACTGTAGGAGACTTCTGGGATGGATTTGAAGATATCTCAAGTAAGTAGTGTGAATTTTTGTTCCAATAGGCAAAATATTCAACAAATAGCACAAATTTATCATCCTTAAATAGCTTACAAGATGTTCCAGGGGTTTTCTTCATACTGGGCAGTGTGTTTGCAGTGTATTCCCACCATGTGGAAAGAGTAGAAACTGTCACGACTCGTCTTCCGGAGTATGTTTGGCCGCCTTTAGTCTTTTGGGGGAGCATTCTGAGGAAGTTTGGGATCTTCCTACCAACTAGTTAAATAGTGCCACAGAAATAGTTGTGGAATGAACATGATTTTAAGTGAGGATAAGGATTTCTTTGTCTCAGTTCTTTGCATTTTGAGTTGTATAACTATTAAAAGCTCAGACCTGTTAACATTTGCCAACAGGTCGCCTGAGAACAGAAGAAGGAGAACCAATGGTGCTGAAGCTTAAAGACTGGCCTCCAGGAGAAGACTTCAGAGACATGATGCCTTCTCGGTAGGAATTCACAAAGAAACTGTTCATAATGTGTGATACCCCCCCAGAATACCGGAATGCAGGAATCCTGCTGTGCTTGACACCTGCTTCAGCTTTGGGAAGCACCTGGTCATGTGCAACCATGTTGTTTGAGATGCCTGACAGAGCTAAGCAAGTTTTCATAGAACCCCAGAATGGTTTGGGTTGGAAAGGACCTTCAGATCATCCAGTTCAAACCCCCTGCCATGGGCAGAGACACCTCACACCAGACCATGTCTTCCAAAGCTCTGTCCAACCTGGCCTTGAACACTGCCAGGGATGGAGCATTCACAACTTCCCTGAGCAACCCATTCCAGTGCCTCATCACTTGTTTTATGACCAGTTCTCATGTAGTTCATTGGATTCCTAAGTAAAGCAGGTACCTAAATTGGTTCATAGTTGGATAAACTTTGGAAGCTCCCTAAAACCCTAAGTCACTTTGAAATGTAAAGTTCAGTTGAAGCTTCTGTTTTGCCAAACTCTTAGGTATTCTGCCTTACTCTATTTGATATTAGTTGAAGTGATTACACAAGGAAATAGCATTACCCCAGAGCAGTTAAATTTATTTATCTACTATACATCCTGTCTTGCTTGCTTGGTTCCTTTTCCTGGTGTTCTGTAACCCCCTGGGGGGAAGGAGTACCATTTCTTGGGTCTATTTTAGACTGCCTTTGCTTTTTGTCAGTCCCTAACATTGAATTGTATTACTTTAGGTTTGATGATTTGATGAAAAATATTCCCTTGCCAGAATACACCAGGAGGGGTGGCAAGCTCAACCTTGCCTCTCGACTGCCCAACTACTTTGTACGACCAGATTTGGGCCCCAAGATGTACAATGCCTACGGTAAGGAGTGTTTTGCTCTGAAGGTCATGTTGACCACACACAGATTAGATTTCACTGTAAACAAAATGAATCCTTGCTGTTCCAGACAATTTGATTAATCCCATTGATTTAAAACCCTAACTTTGGCTCACTTACAGGCATTAGTGATATCCAGAGCATTACATGGTTTTATTAAATGTGTTTTTGTCTAGATGGTTTCAAGCCAATAGTATTTCCAGTTTCCCTATCGGCTTGCTCCACATGTGTATACACAGCTTCTCTTTCTATAGACAGCCCCATGTATTTGTTGTATAGCTGCTTCTGCTGTATCACTTTTGTTGTTTCTCCTTTTGGGGCTGTATTGTTTAGTTTTTAATCTCTCTTGAGCAGTTCTTTCCATAGTTGGTTCATCTGCTGTCACTCAAAAGGCATTTAAAACTAAGCATGACCATGACCAGTAAAAGATCATGGCTAGTAAATACTGTAGTGGCTGCTTTTTAGACTGCTGGAGAACCATGGAATCACAGCATGGTTTGTGTTGGAAGGGACCTTAAAGCTCATTCAGTTCCAACCCCTGCCACGGGCAGGGACACCTTCCACTAGAGCAGCTTGCTCCAAGCCCCTGTGTCCAACCTGGCCCTGAACACTGCCAGGGATGGGGCAGCCACAGCTTCTCTGGGCACCCTGTGCCAGCGCCTCAGCACCCTCACAGGGAAGAGCTTCTGCCTAAGAGCTCATCTCAGTCTCCCTTCTGGCAGGTTAAAGCCATTTCCCCCTTGTCCTACCCCTACAGGCCCATGAATAAAGCCCCTCTCCAGGTTTCCTGTAGCCTCTTTAGGCACTGGAAGAAACTCTCTTTTAGTCAGGACTTAAATGTGGCTTTTATATATTGTACAGGCAGGGTATAGGCATGGATCACTGTCAGCCTGTAAACTGATCACTTGGGAAGACCCAGGATGGGGCAGGATCCTGGCTATAAAGCATATTGCTGTCCTGGAACAGAAAGAAAAAGCTCTCTGGTGCTGCTAAGAGGGGTCTAAGGTTTCTTATTGTCTTGCTAATGTGCTGCTACTCTTTTTGTTCTCTTCTTTCCCAGGCTTAATAACACCAGAGGATAGAAAATACGGCACAACAAACCTCCATTTAGATGTGTCTGATGCAGCCAACGTTATGGTTTATGTGGGTATCCCCAAAGGCCAGGCAGATCAAGAAGAAGGTAAAGTCTTTCTTATGCTGATGGAGGTTATTTTTGTGGTTGGAGGGAAAGTCCTTTGCTGTAACTGCTCATGTTTCCTCTCAACAGAAGTGCTTAAAACCATACAGGATGGTGATTCTGATGAATTGACCATTAAGCGCTTTACTGAAAGCAGAGAGAAACCTGGAGCTCTATGGCACATTTATGCTGCCAAAGATACAGAGAAGATCCGGGAATTCCTTAAAAAGGTAAGCTGTGATGTCCTAAAAACTGATTTTCTCTCTGTGTGGGCTCGTAAGTACATATCCTTGGACTTTTCTTAAACTACATCCTTAAAAGCATGCACAGGAGATGCTCTTGGGAAATGGCAGAGCAGTATGTGGTGCCTGAAGTTCTCCCTTGTTCTCTCCCTTTTCCTACCTATTTTTCCTCATTCCTTTATGAGGTTTGGATTAAGGAAAAAGCATGAGGTGTTCGTGGTGATGTTTCCATGGAGTTTAAGGCTTAGGAGAGATGTGATACTACATCCCAAAAGGCTTGTTTCAGAGTTTGAATTCACCACGAATGGTCCAGAGTTCTTTGTGGTCTCAGTTCTGGAACTTCTCTGGTGCTTTGAAAGTGGAAATTACTGATGTGTTGATGGTTTAAAATGATAAATGGGATGGTGTGAACAACTGTCACCTTTGTCAGCCTGAACTGCTGCTGTCTTGGGTGGAAGCTCAGAGAGGCTACAGTAGGTTGGTTCAGTATTAACAAAGAACAGATCTTATACTTGTTAAAACATGATACTGAATTTGATAAGAGTTGGCATTTTGAGTTCTGGCATCGGTGTCTCACCTCTTGTAGCACTTGCCTGCAAATGTGAGGCTTCCAGCAGAACCAAGGTGTTTGTCTCCTCCCAGATGAGGTTTTGGGCCACACTCCTGGTGTAAATGATTGCAGCAAACGGGTTTATACTGGAACACTGCAGAAATTTGCTGCCTGCAGCCCTCAGATTTCTTTCCTGAAGAGCCTGTTGTGCTCCCAGCCTCCTGTCTCCCAGAAATCTATTCACATCCTCTGTTTGGATGTGCACTGACTTGTGCTGGTCTCTGGGCAGACACCTCTGGAACCCCCAACTCAGTAGCTTCTTCCAATTACAACCTCTTATGGTGTGAGAGTATTGATCCTGTATGACAGTGGTTCCCACTGTGAACACGTGAGTCCCTTAACCCTCTGATGCTGCTTCCTGCAAATTGGGTTCACTTCCATTCCCTATACCCACATTTGCAATGTGTCTGTGAAGCCAGAGGGGCTGAAAAATGGCCAGCCCGTGACAAGGTAAGGACTAAACCCAAACCTTTCACTGTGTGCCTCTTAGACCTGAACACATGGTACAAGTCACTCTGGAGTGCATGTGTATGGAATACCACAGATACATCTTGAGGATGGTGTATTTTAATACCTGTCATGTTGTGACTTTGCAGGTTGCAGAGGAACAAGGTCAAGAAAACCCTGTTGATCACGATCCCATTCATGATCAGAGCTGGTACCTGGATCGGTCGCTAAGAAAACGCCTTCATCAGGAGTATGGAGTTCAAGGCTGGGCTATTGTACAGTTTCTAGGAGATGTAGTTTTCATTCCAGCAGGAGCTCCACACCAGGCAAGGCCCAGGGGCGCTGTTCCAGCCTGACCTTGTGGGCAGAGAGCTCTGAGCACAGCACTGACGCTTGTGTTTGTTCTCTCCAGGTTCATAACTTGTACAGTTGTATTAAAGTTGCAGAAGACTTTGTATCCCCAGAGCATGTCAAACACTGCTTCTGGCTCACTCAGGAATTTAGATATCTGTCACATACGCATACGAACCATGAAGATAAATTGCAGGTAACTTATCAGTGCTCAAGATGAACCCTGCCCCTCTTAACCCCTTTCTTAACCCTATAACACCCACCAAACCTCACTAACCAGCCCTCACCAAAGCACAAGGGCTGTGTCCACACAACTCGGGTTGCTTTCATGTTGAGGTCAGCTTCCTGCACTGGATCTCAAAGAGGAGTTTCAATAGGGATTTGAATTGTTGTTTGTTAGTAGTTCTGAAGAAGCTTCTGAAGCTTTGCCTGAGATTACTTGGATGTGTTTTCTTCCATGTTTTCTCTACCTGTCTCCGTGTCTCTTCCATGTTTCCTCTAGCTGAGCTGGCAATACTTTGCTCAGGCCATGGGGTCTCAATTTCTGTCCTGTCAGAATTTGAACCTTTTTTTCCTCTGAGTTAGTGATTTACTTGAAGGTCATGTAGATCACAGAATCACAGCATGGTGTGGGTTGCAAGGGAGCTTAAAGCTCATCCAGTTCCAACCCCTGCCACGGGCAGGGACACCTTCCACTAGAGCAGCTTGCTCCAAGCCCCTGTGTCCATCCTGGCCTTGAACACTGCCAGGGATGGGGCAGCCACAGCTTCTCTGGGCACCGTGTGCCAGTGCCTCAGCACCCTCACAGTAAAGAATTGCTTCCTTAAATCTAACCTGAACTTCCCGTTTCAGTCTGAACCCATCGCCCCTTGTCCTATCACTACAGTCCCTGATGAAGAGTCCCTCTCCAGCATCCTTGTAGTCCCCCTTTAGATACTGAAAGGCTGCTCTGAGGTCTCCATGCAGGTTCTCTTCTCCAGGCTGAACAGCCCCAGTGTTCTCAGCCTGCCTTCATACAGCTTCCAACCTGACCCTGGCTATGCTGTTCCTTTGAGAACTCAAAGCCTTTTCTTTTCCTCCCAGGTGAAGAATGTCATCTACCACGCTGTTAAAGATGCGGTTGGGATACTGAGAGCGAACGAATCCAGCCTTAGCAGACCGTGAAGCAGAAAGCCTTAACCACACACTCTGAAACAGAAGCGTTGGCAGCTGTTTTACCTACTCAGTCAGGACCTCTGTGGACTTTGAGCTTCTATGAATGTTACCTCATCTTCCTTTCAGCAGTACCAGAGGCTCGTGGTACTATATTCTGTGTATTCTTCCAATGTTTACAAACCTGATATGTATATGTAGTAATATGTATGGACTGTGGCATACTGTGAATGCTCAGTTGCAATAGAACTTTATACGGAGTTGCTCTCCAAACTGTACAAATATACCTCCTTAGAGAACTGTTGGAAAACTATTCCAAATTCCTTGTTTAAAAAAGAACATTATTCCAAGGCATTGTAAAGCTCCAGTTTTTCACATGTATTTTGGGGTGGGAGAAGAAGCAGGAGTCACCCAGTTTAATAACTGATTTCCTTTTTTTTCCTGTAAGAATGCAGTTCTGGGATTTCACATTAACATAGAACTAGCATTTAAAAGTAGCTTTAAGCTATTGTATAGTACCATAGAGATGGGGGTTAAACCATCTTTAGATAAATGTATTTAAATTTCTAAATGTTAAAAACAAAGACTTTTAATCAAAACAGCTTCTGTTTGAAACTGCTCTTTCAGTTGAACTGATGTTTGATCCTCTGGTTTTTAACACTGAATGGTCTACATAAAATTCTTCTATTTCAGATACTGTTCGTTGCATGGCTTCTTCAACTGAGGCTTTCAAAAGTAACTCATTTGAGGCAGTGCTTTGAAATGCAAAAGAAAATGGTGTATTATATACTGCTTGAGCTGGTTTGTAAAGCACCTGCAGGCTTTGGGGTACTGAATTCAGACAGGTTTGATTACAGCTCTCTTTGGTTGACTGAAGCGTGATGTAGCTCAGTGGCTGCTTCTCAGCCAGCATCAGGGTCTGTATTAAAGGAGCTTTGCAGCTGCACTCTCAAATAATAGCACACACGCTGCTCCAGAATCACTTGAGAAAGACTGAAACCATCATAAGACAGGCATGGGGGCAAGAGTGGGAAAGTGCATCTCCCATCCGCCACCATAATCCAAGCCTTTCTGTTCTCCAGTGTCCCTTCTGGCACTGAAATGCATGGGAGAACTGTTGGGAAGAGCCACGTGTGAGAGGAAATGCCCTGGTTAGCCACAAGTCATGGTTCTGAACTTCATGTAACACGCTGCCAAGCAGTGCTGATTCCCCCTCCCCATTGCACCTCACTGCATTAACTCTCAGTACATGAAGTGCAGCAGAATGTGCAGTGACTCGCAGAGAGTTAGGATCAAGTGCTGTGTGCACTGAGAACAGGTACAGCTGCTGCCTTCCTCTCAAGATAGAGAAAAGGTGGCACCCACCAAGATTAAAACTTGAGGGAGGCTCATGCAGACAACTACTGTCAGTTTAAAGCCATCCCTCCTTGTTCTGTCCCTACATGCCCTTGGCAAGCGTCCCTCTCTGGATTGCGTGTTGGCCCCTTTAGGCACTGGATGACCATTATGAGGTCTCCCCACCGCACCTTCTCCAGGCTGAAATCTCATTTCATCTTTCTTCATTTATCCTGAAAAATTCAATTCTCCAGCTTCTAAAGGATGAATTTAGGTGCTGGCATGGAGATTGGCATTTAAGGAAGCCCTTTCAATAAGCTGTAGCTCAATTAAGGCTTCGCAGCCTCTGATCCTTACAGAAATGATCATAGTATGACTTTAAGTATGTGCAGGGTCATTTCCTTTCTCTGGGAGGGTCCCAGCTCCAGCAGCAGCAAGGCAGTGTCATCTTAGCTCAGCTCCATCCCGTGGGCTGTGGTGTTTGGCACAGAGGTAAATCAGCTGCTTTGTGTAAGGACAGATCATACAACAGCATTACCATAACCCCATTGTATTTGACAGCAAGGCTGCTCAGTTAATGACACAAAGCCTTACACTGTGGGTGTGTGGCTGTAGAGATAAGGGAAATGGAGCTGTTCATTGCTGAAGAAGGCACTGCAGTGAACATACACCACCTGGGCCACACTGGAACACAGCAACTATTTAACAACTAAAAGCTTTTCTTCACCTGTGTGCTAAAGAAACAACCCCAAAGGTGTTCTAAACCCAGAAGGGAGCTGGTGGAGGTGGAAGAGAGGTTGAAGTGATGCAAACTGAACTGACTGTTAAAAGCAGCTTTAATAAAATGTGTAGTGATTCAGGAAGAACACACTCTTACACTGCTGAAGGCTTTTGGTAGCAGACAAAGTGCCTTTTAGGACAAGATGCTTCTTGAAGCTAAGGATGGATTTCAGGACCTTCTATCTACAACCCCATAAGGTTACACCATTGCTACCATTTCACCACGGCCTCTCACAGGGGAGATGGGCTGACGAGCAAAGGGTGACCGCTGCAGCTCACCCTCCCCAGTCAGAGGTACGTTACAGTAGGTTCTTAGAGAACACAACCCCAGGAAGAAAAAATACCAATATATATTACATAAAGTACTCTCACGTATTAAGTTTTGCATTCTGAAGGCAGGACAATGGCCCAGAAGCCATCTGTACACGCTGGTCACCCCTTAGCTGCGGAGGGTGGCCAACCGCGACTGCATCGCCTCGATGTCTTCCTCCTCGTCCACAGCAGCCGTCGCTCCCATGGGCTCGGGCTCTGGAAGAGCATCTGTGACTTTACTGGGTGCTTTACCCAAGGCCCCTGCAAACAAAGGGTGTGCGTTAGGTCTTCGTGGTGAGATGCAGCTGAAGGAATCCAGCCACTCACTTCTGGTAGAGGCTGGGCACAAGTGGCTGACTCAGTCAGTATCAACTTGCTTGGGAGAGGCAGGAAGGGAGCAGCTCCCAGCCAGGAAACAGGATGGGGAAAAGGGAAGCAGGATGTGAGAAACAAGGGAGGGCAACACACCAGGGACTGGGCATGGGGCAAGAGCAGGGTAGGTGCTGTGGAGCTGGGCATCTCACACCACCTCACAAGAAATCCAGGCACGGAGCATTCAAAGCATTATCTCAGTCAAGTAAGAGCCAGTCAATCATGACTGCAGGAGCTGGGGTTTGTGATTGGGTTTGTGTTATTTTCTCTCCCTCCCCAAACCCTCAAGACCCCAACAGCACTTTACAGCCAGGAGTCACCACTTGGCCCGAGACTCGAGGTGATGCAGCCAAGTTCATTTCACAGCTTCATTAATAACAGCCTGTCCAGTCAGTCATACACATTCCCCCTCATCAGGAGGATGCACAGACAGACACCGAGCTGCTGCAACCTCACTGATGAACTACACGGACATTACTACTGCTTCACTGAACCGCACCGGCCTCCTCATCCAGTGCCCCCTGAGAAATCAGTTTCCAAAAGCACTCTGCCTGGTGGCAAAGGCCAAGACACCTGAGGGAGAGCACAGCTCAGAAGAGAGGATGTGAAGTGCTGTGTCCTGCTGAGCACAGCAGGGTCCCAGCTCTGCTCCCAGCCAATGCGAACTCACCAGCTGTGATTTCAAACAGGATTTTGTCAATTTCCATCTCTGCTTCCTCTTCCATTTCCTCCTGATCCTCCAAGCTTTCAAAGGTGTCCTCCAGCATCTCCTCTATAATTCCAGCCTAGCAGAAAGCAGAGAAGGCAAGTGTGTGATGTGCTTGTAATGTGCAGCAGAGTAAGGACACGCTTCCTACTTCCTCGTTCAGGTTATGCCTATCCAGGCATAACAACACAGATTTTCTGGATCAAGCCCATCCCACTGCAGGAGGGGGCCTAACACCCCTGCCTCCAGTCTAAGTACATATATGAGCTTGCTAAACATGAGCACCTTGTATGCAGGCAGCCAAGAAGCCAACAGCGTCCTGACCTGTATCAGCACCAGGGTGGCAGCAGAACCAGGGAAGGGATCGTGCCCCTGCACTGGGCACTGCTGACGCCACACCTCGAATCCTGTGTTCAGCTCTGGGCCCCTCACTACAAGAGAGACCTTGAGGTGCTGGAGCGGGGCCAGAGAAGGGCACGGAGCTGGTGCAGGGCCTGGAGCACAAGTGTGATGGGGAACGGCTGAGGGACCTGGGGGGTTCACTCTGGAGAAGAGAAGGCTCAGGGGGGACCTGATTGCTGCCTACAAGTGCCTGACAGGAGGATGGAGCCAGGAGGGGCTGGGCTCTGCTCCCAAGGAACAAGGGATGGGACAAGAGGAAACGGCCTCAAGCTGCACCAGGGCAGGTTTAGATGGAGCTGAGGAACAATTCCTTCCCCAGAGGGTGCTCAGGCATTGGAACAGGCTGCCCAGGGCAGGGCTGCAATCACCGTCCCTGCAAGCGTTCACACCGTGGAGATGAGGCCTCAGTGCCATGGGTTAGTGGTGGCCTTGGCAGTGCACAGGGAATGGTCATACTTGATCATCTAAGAGATCTTTTCCAACCCAGCTGATTCCATGACTGTACAAGCAGTGCACAGGAAAAGCAATAAGAAAAATGAGGACTAAACACCCGTGTTCTCACTCAGAAACCCTCAAGGTGTCATTGTTGCTCCACATCTGAACATGCTCCAAGCCCACGAAATACAACTGCAAACCTCAGTACAGCACACAGACTGTACAACACACTGAAATCAGTGTTTGACGCAGCTTCCCTTTCTTCCGTCTGCATTTAGGGATTGGACTAGATGAGCTTTGAGGGTCCCTTCCAACACAAAGCTATGATTCTATGATTTGAAAACTCCCTCTGCAGGGTCTACGGCCAAACTGCTCTGGTGCACAGTGGTAAAATGAGTAAGAAATCAAACTGAGTTGCGAGAGGGGAAAAAGCAAACCAGTTTTGGTAGTTGAAAAGATACCAGCCACAACAGAGAACCAGTGCAGCTCACAACCAGAGCACTTCATCCCATGGAGACACTAAGCTGGATGTTCTAAACCCAGTATCAGAGCAGCCATCGTTGCCGAGATGAGACTTCGAGCTCCCTGCTCCACAAGAGGCTGTCAGGGGTCTCAATGAACATTTCCATCCTGAAAGCAGGAACTCCATCCCCCAAGAGCAGGGAAAAGCTGAGGGCCATGGCAGTCACTTGGCACTGCTGCCAGCCTCGCTCCGCCCCTGCCCATGGGACTGGGACAACCAAGCCACAACTGCTCCGCATGGGGATGGATCCTCCTCCTTCCGTCCTCAAACTCAGCAACAGTTTTATACCTCAAGCTCTACACCAAACATGCTGCAGGTATCATCTACTCTGCTAGAGAATCCCAGCTATTAAGTGCTGCTTCAATTTGCATTCATTAGGGCTCACACAATCCCTCTGACAAAGGAGCCACCTGAGTGATCTCACGGCACAGTAAAGACCAGCTCCTGTCCACCCGGATCCTGTTGTTCTAGATCTTACCTTCATCATCTCTTTGGACAACTCCCTCATCGTTGCTTGGATTTCAGGGATTTTGACTAGGTTTTGCATAGCTTTCATGACTTCTGTGCTCTTCTGCAACGAACCTGCTACTCTCAGCACCGCTGTGAAGGACAGGGAGAGGAAAGCTTCAATGATTCATGCACCATTAAGCAGAGCAATGACATCCTCCCTACATGGACACAGATGTGTTTGAATCGGGCAATTTATTTCAAAAGAGAAACTTGCATCCCCCATCTTCATAGTGATTCTTCCCCTCTGCTCTGCTCTCACGAGAGCCCCCTGCAGTCCTGTGTCCAGCTCTGGAGCAACAGCACAAGAGGGACATGGA